ATGCATGCTGCTGAGTTATTAGTTATTATGCTCTTGTTTGTTTTACTTGTTTAAACATGGTTTTCATCTGCATTTCATGTTTGCCGTTTCTCATTCAGGGTCCAGGTCCTGATGCTCGCATAGTTTACATAGATGGTGCATTTGATTTGTTTCATGCGGGACATGTTGAGGTATACTTAGCTTTGCTTGCTTCTTATTCTCTCAGAAGAATCCAATAACTGTTGTATCACAAACCAAATCTTATTGCAAATACAAATTATTATGACATTTGCATTGGATATTTAACTTTTCTCTCCTTGTGAATGATTTTCGGATTATGATCTAATCTCTTTATGATATGCCCACTTCTAGTGTCAGAAGCACATCCAGATAATACACCTCTATCAGTTCGTACATGATTTTGGCGACTAGGAGGCTCTCATTTAGATTTTGTTCTAGCTTATGGCTGCTAGCTTATATCATTCAAAATTAGATTAGATTATGATTATGATGTTCTCATCTTATTACTTATCTATCATAAACTTTTTTGCAACTTTTTATTTTTTCAGTTACCCAATGTTACTATTTATTTGTACTTGTATATTGATGATTTTTCCACGGTTTTTATATGCGCTAAATGCAGTAGGACCAAGTTTTCTTGGACTCTAAGCCTAGAGACAAGGTGAGGCATATAGCTTAGCTAAGGTGCTTTTCATGCTAAAATATATGAAAAATGATTTCATAGATGGAAGAATAGATGGAAGAGCTAGCAGCAGATTTTGCAACATTAAGGAAGTTAGCAAGTGAAAAATCATATTGTTAAATTGTTAACCATTGCAATTTTCTGAGTGAACCAGAATCATTCTTCTATCTATTTGAATAATTGGTCTAAGAATGGCAATAAGATGATAGAAACAAGAATAATTATAAAGATCACATAAATAAAGATGTATAATATTGCAGAGTCATGCTGTATAGAGACTCGGCACTTCCAAAAAAAGCTCGCTGCTCATGCCATTCACTGAATTCTTTAGGTCTTGACTATTGAGGGCTCAAAATTTATGTCGATTCTTGCTCCTAGTTTTAATGACATCATGTGATCTCATTAGTATTACTATATCTTCTATTCTGATCTTAAACTTTTGTTTGCATTAGAACAATCAATTTTCCTACTAGAAGTTGAAAATTTTTCTAAAAGAACAACATTTATTTTCAAATCGCCCAGTATCCTGTTGTAGAAATTAACATATTTCTTGATATTGTGTATTGTGACTGTGCTAAGACCCTATTTGTTCATCATGTCATACAGATAGTAGGTTGTATGATAATGAAATCTTTCTTTCTGCAGAAAAAGCTACTTCTGCTTCCAGCTTAGTCAAGATAGTTCTTTCGCCCTAGTTAACTTTTAATATGTGTGACAGTTATTCGGTAAGAGGAGCATGATGTTTTACTTCATATGATTTCTTTCTTCAAAGATATTGTTAATCATTTTGTTGATTTGTTTTTCTGAACCTTGCTTTTTGGGATAAGTTTCTCATTGTGCTTTATCAACTTTTTTTTGTCATGGCTGCTATTGCCCTTGCTACTGAAGCTTAATGTCATTTTTGTGTATAGATACTACGCCTTGCTCGAGAACTTGGTGATTTTCTACTTGTGGGAATTCATACAGATCAGACAATCAGGTCACTTTATTCTTACTTTTTGCCTTCTCCATTATTATCAATCACTTCTTTTTGTTGTGCTGTAATTTATGATTCAATATCTTTCATATTTAGTTTATGTTCATTACATTTATGTGCTCAAAACTTATAACATTTTTTTTACCTTCAACAGTGCTACTCGCGGTGCCCATCGTCCAATCATGAATCTCCATGAGAGAAGCTTGAGTGTTTTGGCCTGCCGTTACGTGGATGAAGTGATTATTGGTGCCCCTTGGGAAGTTTCAAAAGATATGGTTAGTAACAGTAAACAGTCATAGGGTTTGTGTGATTTACAGGCCCTAGAAGAGGGAGATGGGTTCTGCATGGTCACTTTAAAGATAAGATTGAAGCGAAATCTTAATATTTTTGAGCAAAATTATTTGGTTGGTTACATAAAGTTGCTTCTTATGAGTGTAGTTATAGTCCGATAGCTTAGAGACATGGAACAACAAGGATAGTCATAAATCTAGTATTTTATTTCTCATGGGTAGTAATTCACAAAGGTTGCACATTTTCTGGAGATAGAGTTCATTGTGAAATCTATTCTGATGAGTGATCAAAATTCTCATTAATGTGGATGAACTTGGTGAGCTGATTCTTTTCTCCAAGTTGTTTCGTTTCTTTGACCACTTACACTTCTTTAACACATTAATTTGCATTTGATATGCTATCGACAAAAGCTTGCCAGTGTTTATTTTGAGCTTAGACGTTGCCTTATATTTAGTGGACATGGACATTTTTGAGCAGTTTTTGCTGACGATCACTAATGACATGACAATAAATTTTGCTTGTTTAGAGTGCTAACTGTATATGTTAAGTACACTCCCATTTGAGAACATCCATTCTTGTCTTGTTTTCTTTGAACAGCTTTGGTGCTGCAATGACATTTCTAGTTTTTCAATTTTGAAATTGTGGTTCTACCTGTTTACATCTTCAGTTCTTCTGTAGACAGTTTTGTTTAAGTGCTACCATAGTATGAAGATATTCCTCTTGTGCTAATATAAGGTTAAAGGATTCCTAACTGACTCCACATTTGCTATGGAGGCAATGTTTGCTAATTTTAATTCCTGAGAAGTATCTTTGCTTTGGGATCTTTGTAATTTTAATGTTCTTATTTTTTGTGGTTTTGGGATATATTATCACGTTTGTACATTATAATATTTAGTAGAGAAAAAGGTAGTTATTATAGATGTGTACAGATCTTTTCTTTTCTCCTGTTGCTATCAAATTTGAAATTAACATGTTACACACGTTTGAAGAGCTAACTAGCTTTTTATCCATCCATATGATTCTGGTCTCTATATTTTCCTGTTAGATCAACTTGACATTTCTGCTTTGATGCATCTACAGATTACAACCTTTAATATCTCTTTGGTTGTTCATGGGACAATAGCTGAAAATATGGATTTCCTAAAGGTAATGTTGCTGAACTGTGGATCTTATATACCACAACAATGTCAATAACCAGGCTACTCATGCTATCGTATGACTAAACATTACAGAAGGAGTCAAATCCATATGCTGTTCCCATGGCTATGGCAATTTATAAGAAATTGGAAAGTCCTTTAGACATTACAACTAGTACAATCATTAAGAGGATTGTTTCAAACAATGAAGCATATCAGGTACTTTTAAATTAATTGTACTTTTAATTCTATTCTAAAGGATAAGTTTATTGTTTTTACTTTTTAGTATCATATGCAGTTTAATATCAATTTTTGAGGAGTGAGTGCCATGAGGCATGGTTTGCCTTGCCGGTCTATATTGGTGTACCATCTGTCGATACGGTACATATCAATCCGTATTGATGTATTGACACATGGTATGGTGGGATGTACCGATAGATTAGTATTTATCACCCATACTGGTTCTCTATCGGACTAGTACATACCAGGTGGTACATCATGGTATGATGAACCATGTCTTGAGGTATATAGTTTTTGAACATGGAGTAAAAAATAGTTGTCTTTGGCATTTGTTTGTTAAATAATCTAAACCAATCATCGAAACTTGACATAAATCACAACTCTAGGTGATGGTTCCGTTGAAAAGCTAACCTCATCATTTAGTCATTGGGCAAAATGTGATAGATATTTGTTGCTCACCTCTCCAACAACGCAATGGAGGTCGTCTCTTTGTCTAGGTCAACAATTAATAATGATCCAATCTTGTCATTAATGAGCCCATATGGAGGCGTTTAAGAGCTGTTAAAAGGAAGATCATCATCAGAGGCTCATTGTGCCTATTGACACCATACACAAACAAAATATATAAATTAGGTTCTCCAGGTTCAAATTAAATCTTTGCTTCACTCATTAGCTACCTTTATCACTTCATATTCATTGTTCCTGCTTTGCCTGGTCTTTTACTTGAACATGCTGAGTCTAAGAACTAAAGGATCAGTCGTATCCAATGTACCATGTCAGCCATGCATTGAAAATGAGCTTCATCACTAGGTAATATATTCTGCAGATTGTGATTGTTGCTGACAGTTAATAACTGGGTGATTGAGGCCAGACATGAAGATGCTAGTATCTCTGTTATGATAAATAGGTAAAACAAAATATTATGAAAATGGCCTCTCTCTGCTATCTGGTTTCTGACTGTTTATTATCATTATTGGGGTACACAATGAACCATTTAAAATTGTACAGCTAACTGGCTTAAAATCAAGTATGCTTCATTTGACAATTTGTGGCAGTTGCTATTGGCAACTTCACTATTTAAGGTCACTGAAATATGATCAGTTTATATGACCATTAATTTGATATAACTATACCTCGCTTCACTAGTTGAAGGCTAAATTTTATTTTAATTTTCATTTCTGTATATAATATTCCTAGGTTTAGATTATGGCTTGTTGCTTCTGGATGACTGGACCCACTTTGATCATGTTTATATCTTACTTGGGAGTGCTTTGTGATCGTTTGCCTGATGAACAATACATATTAAATGATAGATAATGTTGTTTGTGCAGAAACGAAACGAGAAGAAGGAAGCCAGCGAAAGGAGATATTACGAGAACAAAAGTTTTGTATCTGGAGATTGAGCCGCACAAAGCCGACTAGGAACTATTCGTTTGGGAATCCTCAGATTTCCAACTTGGTAGAGAGGGCTGGTTGAGTATCAATCCCACATTCGTCAGTTTTGAGTTTTAATTGCTCACATTTTCCAGAAAGTTACGCAGTTAGATGTAGCTGCAATGGGTAATGTAGTCTATTATGTTATACTTGTTTTAACTTAAATTATATATATATATATATATATATATATATATATATATATATATATATATATATATATATATATATATTTCTGTGGTAAGTTTTAGTTGGCTGTTATTATCGGTGACTCATTTATTTCACCAAATGAGATGTTAAAGAAGATAGTAACATGAGATATTTCAAGACTTTTGTGTAACCTTGGACCTACGAACAAAAAGTGAAGGATAAGATACCAAAACCATGGAATTCCTGTAAAGCTCTTTAGTGAGGGGTGATGTAAAGAAGATATTGTGGTTGCCAGTCATGCAGAAGGTGCAGTTTCAATCATTATTAGCCTTTAAGCAGTGGTGGGCGCAATGGAAGACAACATAGTTTGTTGAGTAGACTCCACTGCCAGGTCGGTACCTCCATTTTTTCCCTTTTCTTCTCCATTGTTCTTTATTTCTTCCTGTCTCTGCTCACTGACAAAAAAACATATTCCATGTGTAGGGGCGGATTCGGTGCTCGCTTGCATTTGGATCCTTCGATTTCCTGTCGGTTTCAACTTTGGATCTCCATGATTGAAGCAATTTTAACTCGCCTTATCATTATCAAATGATGGAGGTTTGATCCCCCCACGTTCTCACCAACTGTCTCTGCATTGAGATCCATTTCTTTAGGCGCTTGCAGAGCTCCCAACTGACTTCTCCACTATAAACAATTGCAGATGCTGGGCAGGTGGAGGGAGGAGAGCCAGTATCTCAAACCGCACTTCTCAACCCTTAATCAATAGATAAGAAACGACCGAGTACAGGTACCGAGTCAACTTTAATAATCCATCTCGGCTTCATTGGAAAGATTCTCCATAGAAAGATAGATTTCTAACCTTTCTTCTTCTTTGAATAATTTAGATAGATGGTATTGATTAACTAAGTCCAAGGATGCCTCACCTAGTGGAATAAAGTAAACCATAATGATGCTTTAACCCTGACTCTTCTACATGGTAAATTTTACTTATCTTAATGTACTATAAATACACATAACAAAGCCTCATCTGGAGCAGTGAGGGCATCAAACTTTGTTCTTCTTGTTGGTAGTGGTGGGTGTCCTAGTGGCATCCACGGTAGGACCCCCACGTCGTCATGTTTCATGTGTTCATTTATGCACTGTACCTTTCGGGTTTTAGATTAATAGCTAAGGAGTCCATGACGCCGATGCAAACAGCAAACATGGCCACTTGATTCTTTTTCTGCATCGGCGAAACCTGTCCCCCTCTCGCCACATGCGTCGTGGAAGCTGATGATTGAATAGGCCTGAATAAGAAAAATACAACAAGTCTCATTTTCTTTATTTATGTATCAAAATACAACAATCAATTAAGATGATAGATTTACGTAGAATTTTTTTTATATCCAGAAAAAAAAACATAATTTTTTGTATTAAACAAGAAAATAGTTTAATGAGTTTTAGCAATTTCCTAATAATGCATGTCAATTATTTTACGATCATATTGGTGTCAACAGTCTTCTATATTCTGAAAATATCAAATTTTCCCTTTTGGTTTCTCCAATTGATTCTTTCTTGACATTCTTAATTCTTGTATGTACATCATAAGATAGGATTTTAGATTTTTTATGTATTTAATTTATGTTGGTCCAATAATTGAT